TGAGGGATTTCGAACATAATTGACAATATTTATTTACCCATTAATTTGTTTATGTTTTTTTTTTAAATTATGTTTATATATATATATAGTTATATATTTGAAATATTCATCATATCTACTTACAATAGCCATTTCTGTTTATTGTCTGTTATTTTTTTTAATTTCAGTTGTAATTACTCAAATGGTTGAACATATTTATTTATCCATTACCTTTAATTAATCTTTTTCTGTTTTTTTTTTTTTAAACATCCAATTTGCCACTCGTATTTTCACTGTGACCAGCCTGAGAGATTTGACTAGTTCAGTTGAATTAATTCTTTGGTCCCTACAATTCTTGTCAGATGTGCTTATTCTATATATTATCTTTTATAAAATTTGAACATTATCTGCCTCTGGTGCACAATTTTGAGAAATTTCAACCTTTTCATCACCAGATATTTTCAACCAAATTTTTCAGCATTTTTTTCCTCATATTCTTTAATATTTCTGGAAATGAACCCTAATTTTAAAGCTAACAGACAAAACTAGTGTAAATTTTCAGTTTTTACTAAAAAAAAATTGCTATTTTAGTCCCATTCAATGCAGACTATAAACAGTACTACCGGTACATGTGTATTTTGAGAATTTGTGACAAAAACTGAAAAGGTAAACTGAAAAGGTTAAACATTAAACTTACATTTAACTTGAGTTGAGTGATTTCTTCCTCTAACACTCGCACTTTTTGTTCTTTCTCACTGACTATTCTCTTCAATTGCTCCACCACGCCTTTATCCTGTATGTTCTTCGTCTGTAGCTGCTGCACTTCTCTGTGTTGCTGGGTCTGAGATTCCTCTTGTAGCCGGGCGTTCTCTTCGATTATCTGTTTCATTTGCGTTTGTTGTTTCTACAATTCAAACAAGGAATCTGGTCTTTATTTATTTATTTTTTTTTTTTTGGAAGAGTGACTTCTAATCACACATTCCATAAAAATGTGATTATTCTGCGGTAATCCTAACTTATTAGTGTTTTCTCAGGATACAAGCATATGGCAGCAGTGTACCCTTTAACCTTTTTACCACCAGACTTCCTCGACCCAAATTATTCTGCACATTATTATTATATTGTTCAATATTTTTAGAAATGAACCCTAATTTTGGAGCCAACAGACTAAATTTGAGTCAGTTTCCAGTTTTTACTCAAAAAAATTGGTTATTTTTGTTGCAATCTTGTGAATGAAAGTGCAGACTATAAACAGGACTATTTTGTGAATTTGTGATGAAAAGGTTAAACAGGACAGATTTTGTAGGGATCATAAAATGTAAAAATGTAATCCTCCAATAAAGATGAGTCAGCTTCTTGACTGCTGGGAAGGTTAGTTTTAAGAAAAAAAAAGTTTAAGTAACTTTATAGGTGACATGAGACACAAAAAAAACTTTGTTTAGGTTGCCATTTGGCGACCTTGGTATAATTTTTAATTGGCGTTACTTAAATATAGTAGTCATGGTAACTATAATAGTTTCAATCTAGAGATAGTGTTCTCCCCAGAAAAATTGCATACGGTATTGGCCAATTTGCATAACAATATAACATAACTTCTATTGTATTCATTGTTATGCTAAATTGGTTCTATTGTTTTTATCTAAAATTTAACAGTTGTGAACCCCTACTCTATAAAGAATTCTAAAGTTCTTACCATAAGTGCACCAATGAGTTCGTCATCGTGTTTTCCTTTCTCCATCAGTGTTGACATTTGCTGCTTCAACATCTTTAGTTCGTTACTTAAGACTTTATTTCTGGCTTTAGATGCATCAAACTTTTCTTTCATTTTACTGTAGTCTTCTTCCAAGGCTTTCAACTCAGCTGCTGCCCTCTATAGTCAAAAACAAGAAATTATGAATATCAGGGCATGACCTCCCTAAGGAGGGGTCTTTTGGGGCATTTCTATTTTCAGGGTCACATTCGACTAAGCACCCTCCCTCTCCAAAATGACCCAAATTTGACTGTTTATTTATAAAACCTTGATTATTGATTTTTCCTATAACCGATAATCAAATTTATGTAATAAACCATGGATATCAATCCCCTCATTCTTACCTTTAAAAAATTAAAAAAATCGCTAATTTTAATTTTTTTTTAAATTATTCATTTTTTTAAAAAAATTAATTGCAACAGATAGTGATATTAATAATTCATTTTTTGCATTGTATTATCAAAATGTCTCTGGGAATTCTCCGGAAAATGTGTTAGTACCATGCAGCATTCTGATTGGTTGATAACAGACTTGCCCAACCAGGTCAAATGACGTTGTTGCTGGTAATGATTAAGTTTTGGGCTTTGACTGTGTTACCACACTAGTTAATAAACTGGTATACAAGTCCCGGCAAGGCTTACGTCACTCGTTTTGCTTTGACGCCCTAGGTTAGCGGCCAATTTGTCACACTTAGAGTAACCGTTAATGAGTGTCGAACGGTGTGCGCACTAGGGGGTTTCCCAGGGAAAGTACCTAAAGTGTCATCGGAAAAATGATTTACAAATGCACTTTCACTATTCACCACGCATGCGCAATGTGTATATGAATTCTAATCAGGAGCGTGGTTAGAAACGACCTCTGTACTGAGTTTGAACTCTGAGTTTGACCTACAAACAACGATCTCTATCATTACCACGAGCTTAAATGGCCCTGGATAAGTAAAACATGTGCGGAACTGACGTCATTCCTCTAACATTCAACCCTCCCGCTAAATGAAAACAAATAAACATCAAAACCAGTTCAGTGTAATATTAACCTTGTATATTTTTATGGTGCGTAATTCCCCCGTAATGTTGTAATAAATTGCATATTTTTTTTGAAATATTTTTTGCGACAATTTCTGTTTCTTCATTGTTAAAAGTGTGCCGAAAATCAATGACGATGCAACTAATTTCACCATTTTATTTTCTTGAAAAAAAATGTAATATTCCCCTCAATCTGTCACATGATGAACTTAAATTTTCATTTGTGCACTTTCACATGATTTTTTTGGAGCTGAGTAACCCGGGTGCTAAGTCGATTTAATCATGAGACTGGTCAATATTGATCAATATTCATGATTATTGATTAGTATTCATGATTATTGATTAGTATTCATGATTATTGATTAACCTTCAAGATGGTTAATTAATATTCATGAAATTAACATACCTCTTTAGCTTCTTTTCTTTCTTTTTCCATTTGTCTAATTTTACTTCTGTTCTTATCATCATACCCAGATGAAGCTGCTGTGGATCTCGGCGACAGAGTTGTCCCCATTGTCATGAACTGTTCTTCTAAACTCATCTCAGTGTCTGGCCTTGTCTGTAACTGTCCAAGCTGAGAACGGAGCTCTGAAACCTGATGTAAATAGCATAGTGAGCCAAGTATTAAAATGTGCGAATTGCTGACACCGATGATGTCTATCCTGACACTCCAAGTGAAGGCAGCACATACACAGTGGTGCAGTTTATCTCAGAAACCATTCGGGACAACATGACAGGGCTGTGAGACCATCTTCCTATCATAATGGTATTATGGTAATTTAATGCATACATACAGTGCATTTTACCACAGAAACCATATTCCATGTTTAGGACTACATGACAGGGCTGTGTGACCATCTTCCTATCATAATGGCATTATGGTAATTTAAAGCATACATACAGTGCATTTTACCACAGAAACCATATTCCATGTTTAGGACTACATGACAGGGCTGTGTGACCATCTTCCTATCATAATGGCATTATGGTAATTTAATGCATACATACAGTGCATTTTACCACAGAAACCATATTCCATGTTTAGGACTACATGACAGGGCTGTGAGACCATCTTCCTATCATAATGGTATTATAGTAATTTAATGCATACATACAGTGCATGTTACCACAGAAACCATATTCCACGTTTAGGACTACATGACAGGGCTATGAGACCATCTTCCTATCATAATGGCATTATGGTAATTTAATGCATACATACAGTGTATTTTACCACAGAAATCATATTCCATGTTTGGGACTGTGTGACAGGGCTGTGTGACCATCTTCCTATCATACCGGTATGGTAATTTAATGCATACATACAGTGCATTTTACCACAGAAACCATATTCCATGTTTAGGACTACAAGCCCCACCCCTCCCGGTACATGACAGGGCTGTGTGACCATCTTCCTATCATAACGGTATTATGGTAATTTAATGCATACATACAGTGCATTTTACCACAGAAACCATATTCCATGTTTAGGACTACAAGCCCCACCCCTCCCGGTACATGACAGGGCTGTGTGACCATCTTTCTATCATAACGGTATTATGGTAATTTAATGCATACATACAGTGCATTTTACCATAGAAACCATATTCCATGTTTAGGACTACATGACAGGGCTATGTGACCATCTTCCTATCATAATGGTATTATGGTAATTTAATGCATACATACAGTGCATTTTACTACAGAAACCATATTCCATGTTTAGGACTACAAGCCCCACCCCTCCCGGTACATAACAGGGCTGTATGACCATCTTTCTATCATAATGGTATTATGGTAATTTAATGCATACATACAGTGCATTTTACCATAGAAACCATACAAACAGGTTGAGGTTTTATGATGATGATTATCTACCTCGCTTGGCAAGGACTCTGATTGGACAATATTGTCTACTCACTTTATTTTGTAGACTTGTAATCTGTTGAGCACGCCCTCTCCAGCCACCCGCATTGGTGTTCAGCAGCGACTGTATATTAACGCTATCACCCACTTCCTTTTCAATGACCTTGTGGGCAATCTTCAACTCCTGCCTCAGCTGCTGCAGCTGGTTTCGATATTCCGCCATCTTTAGATTGCCCGATGAAATTTTATCTTGCAGCGACTTTAGTTCAGCTGGGTCCACTGCAGGCTGTCGCAAAAAGAAAAATACTTTTTTATTTAAATTCATTGTATCGTCAGCAAATTGTGTTTTGAAGCTTTTCAAAGTATGGTAGTATACTGTGGAATACTTTATTTTCTCTGGAATTAATTTTCGCTGAAAAGGCTTTTTGGGCGTTTTGCTTGGAATTTATTTTCACTGATTTTTGATGAGATTAATGTAAAATATAGGAAAAAATGTATATTCACTGGATTTTATTTTCACGGAACCATCCCTTCAGCAAAAATATATTTTCAGCAAAAATAAATTCCAAGCGAAAATAAAGTATTCTACAGTATGTACTATGTATGCCATGTTACTCTGGGAAGAACACTGAACTGCCCAGAATACAGACTCTACATGGTCAGATTAAACTGATGTTGGTATAGTATTAAGTGGATTAAAATGCCTAAAGCTGACAATACCTGCATTTCTGAAATGAATCAAGGTCATTCAACCTTTTAATATTAATTATTCATACACATTGTAGCACAGTGTGACAGTAAGGATTATGACTGTGATAAAGTCAGGCCATTGTGGCGGTAAAACAAAGCACTTTGGTGGTACAGTCATGGTGTTTGTTTCCTGGGGAAAACACTCTGCATAGCCTAACATGACAGGATACGCGAAGAAAAAGACAAGTTTCAGACAGAAATGATGTGATTATACACTGACCTTTTCTTCTAATGTGTCTCCCAACACGTACTGTTTAGCACTCATCTGTTTGTGTTTATTATCCCCGTCAAGTGGTAATTGTCTTTTCGTAACAACAAGCTGCAAGAAAACAAACAAGATTACTCGTATATTTATTTATTTATGTTGATTGCCATAATTATTTTTTCTCCCAAAATTTTTAGCACAAAATTTTGCAGTTTTCAGCGTAAAAGCAAAGCGACTTATAAGATTGTCCCTGATTGGCTACACAACCTAAACACCTAACATTCGGACCAATCAGAGAGCAGCTTGTTTTTGAGATTTTTTTTTTCTGATTATCAAAATTCTGTCTGTATTTTGAAACATGTTGAAATAGCTACATGCCATTTTAGCGAATGTGTGTGAATTAACAGAATCGTAATTTAGCTGAATTTTCAAAAAATTTCACTGTGAAAATATCTTTTCTGTTAAATTAGCGAAAATCACAGATTGGCTAAATTAGCTAAAATGACATGTTGTATACAGTATATAGGCTTTGATTCAACTGCATTTTCATGGTTGCATGAATGGGGGGGGGGGGGCATTACTCCGCTGTATAGTGAAGGAGTTTTGCTGTTTAGGAGTAGACGGTCATTAGAAAAGATGGAAGAATTGAACATAATAAGTTCATGCATTGAAGGTTGAGTCGGATTGACAAAATTGTTCTCTGTAACAGACCACCATAGCGAGTACTGTAAAATACTTTATTTTAGCTGGAATTAATTTTCGCTGAAAAGGCTTTTTGGGTGTTTTGTATGGAATTTATTTTCACTGATTTTTGTTCAGTTGAATGTGAAATATAGGAAAAAAGTATATTCGCTGGATTTTATTTTCACGGAATCATCTGTTCAACGAAAATAAATTCCAAGCGAAAATAAAGTATTCTACAGTACATCATAAACATTTCCCAATTCTACCATAGGTGGTGCACTTACATTTCCCAATTCTACCATAGGTGGCGCACTTCATCGGTGTGCTATTGAGGAGAAACAAAATTTGTGGGGGCTTTATATTAATTTTGGTCTGATTCAAATCATCTGAAGCATTTGAGTGAAACCATTTAACAGATGGGGAACAAGGCTTACTAGTCCCTCAATACTTACATCTCGTTCAAGTTCATTAACTTTACGCAGCAGTTGTCTGCATTTGTTTTTCTCGCTCTCCACTTCAGCCGTCAGGTCGCGGTTCTTTTTGGAGAGGTCGACTATCTTCGTAGCAGCAGTCTCGCTTGCCACTCCCCCGCCCGTCATTGCTAGTTTGGTATCTTCTCTCTGTTTCTTAAGTTTTTTGATTTCATAATCCCTCTCACTCAGTAGCTTGTAAAGGCGGCCATTTTCATCCTTAAGTTCCTGTAAAATTGTGAAGCATCCTTAACTTGTTGAAAAAAAATGATTTTGAAGAATTCATCATTAAAAGTAATTATGAAATTGAACTAAATTGATTAAGGAATTAACAATTGATTAGAAGCCTGCTCATAATTTTTGAGAAAATTGGTTAATTGTTCCATATTTGGAATTTGCATTTCCTAATAAGGTAGTATTTTGGACTCGCATACCTTTATAACAGGTTTAAAAATTCACAGAGACAAAGGCAATTACGTCCATTCCCTAGATGTTTTCTTTAGTACCCTTTCAAACAATACCAGTTTCCTGTACACAGTGCATTTTGTACTTATAAATTTCGCTTTGATAATGGTCACTCTCTCAACACTGAAGCTAAGCCCCATGAAAACACATACATTAGTGCTTATGTTTCTTGGTTTCATCAATTGCCATGTGTAAACTGAGAACAGACTTCTCAAGGGAGAGTGAACCAAGTGAGTATTGGTAACAAAATCCGGGAGGAGAATAACATACTGGGGGAGGAGCACTTGTAGCCAAGGTGTTTATTGCTCAACTGCTAGGCCTGGAACTGAGTCTAAATACTCACGAGATGTTCCATACAATGTATTAATAACATTATGCAAATACTGTACTCGACCGCATTAGCGCCCATGCCCGGTCAAGCGCCCACCCCCCACTTTTGTGCAATTTTTTTATTCGGGGTCACATTCGGCAAAGCGCCCACCCCTTCAAAATGCCAATAATTTAAAACTTGGTCTTTGATCATTGCTTAACGAAAACTGGTAATCATTTTTATATCATGATACAGCGTGGATATCAACGTGAATATTTTGTGAATAACTAAAATAAAGGAAAAGTCATAGCCACATTTTGCCATGATACCGATGAAGTTTGTCTTGGTGGTGTCTTTTGAAAAATATAGATTCCCTCTACACTATTACGAAAGAATAAAACAATGTTACCAAATTTCAAACTCCAAAAGTTCAATTCCTGGGTCTGCACATACGTACATGTACACGTACAATTAGCCATTATTTCATCTTAGGATGCAAACAACCGGTTCTTGACAAGCATTCACTGCACGTGTGAATACACTAGAAACCTAAACAAGTGCGTCAACCTATAGCAAAGGTGTTTTTAAGATCACTAAGCCATTTTATAAATTTCTGTTGCATCATGGGAAACGAAAATAACCTACATTTGTGTACAGGGCGGTGGTCACCACGCAGCATGTGTTTAAATGTCATGCAAATAAACAATGTATTTTACACGTGTTGTATACGTCGCTATGAGTCCCATATCAAACAGGATATGTTTAATTTGTCATGTCTGTCTGTCATATCGACATAGAGGGCGCACTAAATGTCTGACTTACCCTCAGCTGTGAGTTCAAGTGCGTAACCAACTCTTCATTATACATCACCTCTGGCTTTATTGGCTCAGCAAGCTATCAAAAAACAGTATTTAATTTTATTATATATTTTCTCGTAGCTTTGATATTTTAAATGGTAAAATCAATTTTTGTTTTTTTCAAACTTTTGATCAAGACTTGTAGGTATTTGACCAAAATTATTATTGAAATTATTGAAAGAATTCATATAAAGTTAAAACACACACAAACACAAACACACACATACATACATACATACAGACAAACAGACAGGGTAACTGCAAAGACTCCCATTGTGTGCTTCGCACACGGGAGTCAAAAACATTTTGGCGGGATTAATGAAATTCAAGGTTTAAAATTCCTCAGATTATTCTATATTTGATGTCTTATTTTTAATTATTTTTAAAGCTTTGTTGGCATCTGGAGAATAGTATGTGAAATGTGTGATGGTTAATATATTGGGAGATATATGAGAATTTACCATGATTCACATTGTTGCTAATTAACAGCCCTTTTCGAGTCCCTAAGTACAAATAAACATCATACTGTTAGATACTTCATTTTAGCCAGAATTAATTTTCACTGAAAAAGACTTTTTAGGTGTTTTGTATGGATATTATTTTCACTGATATTTGATGAGTTGAATATAAAATATAAGAAAAAGGGATTTTATTTTCACTGAATCGTTCCTTCAGTGAAAATAGCAAAAATTAATTCCAAGCGAAAATAAAGTACTGTGGAATACTTTATTTTCGCTGGAATTAATTTTCGCTGAAAAGGCTTTTTGGGCGTTTTGCTTGGAATTTATTTTCACTGATTTTATCATGAGTTTAATGTGAAATATAGGAAAAAAAGTATATTCACTGGATTTTATTTTCACGGAATCATCCCTTCAGCGAAAATAGCGAAAATAAATTCCAAGCGAAAATAAAGTATTCTACAGTAGTTGCAGCAAGTAGAGAATTACTGCCTGTGATTAAGAGAACTTATCTTAGCTCCAGATTTGTAATTTTTGTTGTCTACACTATAAATAAATAATGTAAACCACTTTAATTTTTATAAGTCAATGAAAATCATGAAATTTTGTGAAAGTGAAAGTAGTGAAAGTTTCTCTTGAGTGTCAGTAAATTTTGTCTTTGTCAAATGCCATAAAATCCTGAAAATTCCTAGCAAAGAAAAATAGTGGTATGCAGTGGTATATACCGGTAAAATACACAGCCTCAATTTACTTACACTCAGTCCCAAATCATCGTCTACCACTGCTAAGCCGTTCAATTTCTCCTTTTCTTTACTGACTTTCTCTTTCTTGTCCTTTTCTATTTTTCGTTGTTTCAACCGAAGCACTTTCTTCTGTTGCTGCTCTTGTAGCGCTTGGAATTGCTGCTTTAATCGTTCACTGTCTGTGTCCATCTTGCAAACTGTTGACCACTAAATATAATTCTTCATATAGAAAAGCATAGAATACTTTATTATCACTGTAAAGATAGTTTGACATTCTATTTTTGGTAAATAAATGATAATAATAATTTTGTTCAAAAAAAAAATAAAATGTATGATGTCATATCGGTAAATAGATGATTTTCCGTACAATTGCGAGATCTCGCGAGATGCATGAAAGACGCGCGTCGAACGTCTGCCGCAAAAAACGAACGATTTGATTTTGAACTAGAATTTCTTTATTTCGTAGCTCACATCGACCGGCCGATCTTCGACAGAGGAATATTGCTTTTGAATACCCTCACTTAATCGAAATTGCCTATCATCAAATGTGCACAGCACATTATTAAGCATGGAAATGTCCCCCAAAATACTTTTGCGTTTGTCGAATCCCACGTGATGTTTGACGCCACTACGACGCTATGACCTTTGTTTGTCTTGTTTTTACGTTTGATTTCACACATAATGCATGATTCTTGCAGTGAATGGAAAAAGGTCTATTGGTGGGACAAAATAAATAAATCTTCTGTTTTTAGTAATCCTACCTACCCATAATTTTTGAAAAACTTGAAAAGTTTATTTTATGCAAATTAGCTCACAATTATACATTCACTTCAGTTATTGATCACTCAACAATGTAATTTTTATTTAAATTTCCTTTGAACTTATACAGTGTGGTATTAGTTGTATGAAGGAAATATATCCTGGAAACTGACTCAGATGTCGTTTTTAACATCTGTAGTTACACTAGGATTACCGGTATGTTATAACAATAACATCACAGTTCAGCGGAAAAATACAAAACAAAAAATCTTTCTACTCAAAATTTAAAGCATGCCCTGGCAAATTGTTTTGTTTTGTTTTGTTTTGTTTTGTTTACCTGTAGAGAACCTTTCTTTAGATATAATAACCAGATTATACTTTAAACATGGCTGAAAAAGCTGCTCTCTGATTGGTCTATTAGATGTTGGGTAGCCAATCAGGTACAATCATGTAAAGTAGCTTTGCATAGACATTTCTATGTATTATTTTAATATTGATATGCATACACAATAAAAGATCACACTGAAAACGTGAAAGCTACTGTAAAATGACTAATTTTCACTGGGTTTAAATTTCACTGATTTACCATTTCAGGCATATTCAGTGGGTTTTAAATTCACGGTTTTATCATTTAGATAATATGTTCTATGCTAAATTTTACATATTCACTGGGTTTTAATTTAGTGCATTTTCCAGTCAGCGAAATAAGCAAAATTAAAACCTAGTGAATAATTACCCCCTTTACAGCATTATGCATCATGTCACTTTAAAGATCAAACCCACTGGTAATTTTCCACTGATTTCTATGTGATAATTGCCAACTTTTGGAGTATCCTTTGCATGATACGCGACAAATTAGTTTTGATTAACTGTAGAATGGTTTATATTTGTTGCCAAAATGATATAAAAAACAGCAATTTTTCAACTGAATCTCTTTCAGTTTGTGGACTTTAATATACCACACTTTTCTACTTTTCTATGGAAGTCTATAAGGTGTGCATGTGCCTAAGAAAAGCATAGTGAAACACAAGTAGTTAGTTTATGTTTTTTACTCTGCGGTAACATTGTTCAATCAAATTCTATAATAATAATAATAATAATAATTAATGATGATGATGATGATGATGATGCTGATGCTGATGATGATGCTGATGCTGATGATGATGCTGATGCTGATGATGATGATAATAATATGCCTAGGAATGTTACATTCAGAAATGAACTTGATTTGGACATGGAGGAAGAAAAGAGAAAGAGTGAGGACGCTATTGTTTCCGCTGGTTTCATGATGCTTTGGATTTGTTTACTCAGTACACATTGTAATTAGTTTGCAAACACGCTGTACAATGTCACAGTTAATCGGCTTACGTGTTTTGGCTGTATTTGGAAGCTTCACGAAGATTCTCAGCGCACTGCGCATGCCTAAACAAATAACAATAATACAAAATGCAGCGAAAAACGTACGCTGAGTGTACTCAACGCCCGAAATCTATCACAACAAAAGGCGCAATTTTTGACATCTGCACAGTTCTGCACAACAATGAAAAATGACTCGTCAAAACATCTTGTTATAATCTCATCATGTATCTTTAAATTTCACTGCGGAAATTTGCAGGATTTTTTTAATCAATGTCCAAAGTTGGACGAATATTGCGATGAAAAATATCAAAAAAGAAGTAAGCACACATCTTGGTAGCGTCCGTATGCAGAATTTCCGGTATCTACAAGTGTGAAATGACCTTTGTGGTCCGATAAAGGTCATTGCGCATGCACAATTCTTTTATTTATGGTTTGCGCATTCTATTTTATAGATGATGTTTAAACGGAATTTATTTTTTTCAGTTCTACTCTCGTTTTCTTGTGTAAATAAGCGGCTATCATCATGTAGATAAAACGACTTCTAAACAAAAACAATAAGTGGCTTAACCAGA